CATATAAGCTGCAGAAAAATATGCAAGAGAGAGGATATTACATTGGCTAACTTCTAGGCAGAAAAATAGCACACAGAGTAAAAATTTCCATATCGTACATTAGTCTGGAAAACGTCATTGTTTATTAATAATTTAGTAATTTTTTTAAACATTATTGCACAACCAAGCCAGTTTGTATTTTTGTTTATATGTTACTCGTGACGTTCTAAACTACACTAATTATCGAATAGTCAATAACTATTTATATCAACTAAGCATTTCATGGTCTATATTATTTAAAGATTAGCGACCCGCTCCGGCTCTGCATGGATATTATATCAAAGACCATTTATTTTATCAACTTTTCATTTATCCAGAAAAAGTTTTTCGTATAAAATATAGCCTAGATTAAATTTTTTTATTTAACTGGCTTTACGGCTCTGGGTTCTAGCCCTTTTGAGCCCATCATTTCTTTCAAAATTTTATTATATAAAAAATTTGGTTTGACGACAGCTCAACCCAGCGAACTGTTGATGACGACAGCCACTCAAGTTCATAAGGCGCCCAAGCGATTAAATTAACTTGAGGTTTATATCAACATCAAAGCACTTGTTTCGTCGTTTTCTCTAATAGTTCACACGCGCAGACACTTAATTCACAAAATCACATCACTTTTACGAATTAAAATCCACGTTAAACCATTATTAAAGCGACAGTCCGTCGACGGCCAAGTTCCCGCCAAAACTTCAGTTTTGAATCCATCTCCATAAAGAAACCCAAAAAATCCAACTCCAAATTGGATGTCATTCCGTAGATTAGCCCGGACACACAGACAAAAATTTTAAAATTGGTTAATCATGTCTCAGTGGCATGCAAATAACCCCCCTCCACCTCCCCACCCAACACAAGGCAGTTTATTCAACATTTCAGACACAAATCTCAATTTTATTTAAATTTATAGATACTTTTGTGATATATTGTAATAATAAGCAAGTTTCTTGTGTATTTTTATCTCGATATGATAAAAATACAATTTTGATATTTATTAATTATACTAGCACATATATAATGTTAATTACAAACCGAAGAATAATTGATTTTCTTTTTACACTTTATAAGCAAAGGCGTTTTTCGCAACAGCATTTATATATTCATGTAAAAATATATAGCTTAATTTTTCTTCTAACATACAATTACCACAGATGAACCTTTAAAATCTAACATTACCTTCAAGTACTTTATGGACGCATCCAAATTTATTTGCATTATGCGATAAAAATACATTTTGTCAAAATTTAAATCCACAAATTTTCTCAGCACCGATTTCCTGATATCCACTTAAGTACTGAAAATTCTACCCGATGTTAATTCTAGATATTTCATACAAAACCCATACATTTTAACCAAAATTGAGATTGTTACATTTAGACACCAAACAACCAATATGGCGTTTTACAATAGTCGCATATGATGTGTAACATGTGACAGCCCACCTTGATAATAAGCAACATTAACATTGGGTATATTCCGAAACGTTTCCAGTATACCCCGATACATCAAAGACGTCTCCATATAGCCGAAAACAAATGGCATCATTAATAGACAAGGCATCATATTGTACTGGCGTGCCGCCGCCATATTGTGTCAGAGATCCGGCCATATTAAAACAATTTTTAATTGTGTGTACGCTGAATGAAGCATGCCAGAATTTGTTTTTATTTATACAAATACAAAAAAAAATATGGAATAATTGCCGGTATTTCGATTAGGATATAATGATTTTTGGAGCACAAAATGACAAAATAATCGCCAACATTTCCAATATGGCAAAAATGTATGCAGTCATATACTGTCCTATGTTTTGGAACGAATCACCAGTATGGCGTCGATTCATGACGTCATTTGCATTGGACAGTACACTGGCTTCTATTTTGGAACATACCCATTATATCCTGAAAAAATCTATATGATTTTTTTTTAATCAAAATTAAAAATATCAACTAAGCAGCGACAGAAATTTATTGATTAAAACTACTTTTACGGATTTTATCGCGTTTATTTTACTTTTAATTACTTTTGTTTTTAATTCCCGACGTTTCGGGCGCTTTCCAGCACCCATGGTCACGGGCAGTGGCGAAGCTAGAGCTCCAAGCTAGGGCAAGCCCAAGATATAAATTGATAAAAATATAGATTGTTGTTTTTAGCAGTTTTATAAAAATACACCAATCTTGATCTGTCTCCACGCTTCAGTTTCATGTTCAGTGCTGTCAAGGACGTGTTTAACAAAGCACACAGAAGGCATACCACTGCTAGATAGATTGTATTACATATCCGCAATTGCATAGCTTCGGTGGCTTTGAAGAAAGCCGTTTGGGTTTGTTTAAGCGAAAGAAAAAAAATATTTACATCCAATACAATACATGAACAAAAGTAAAACACGAACAAAGTACAAACAAACTATGTACAAAATTAAAAAAAAATTATTTACATTCTAATGGATAAGAGATAAGATAAGATAAGTGAAATCGTCTCGCTTTCTTATGGAAAGATTTAATTACGTCCACGTAAAATGTTTGTGAACGTTTTAACTGTACCAACAACTGTTTTTAATTGCGATAATTGATAAGTATGAAATACACTCTTAACCTTGTGTATTATCTCAACAAAGTTTAAAGATTTCCTCTCCGATTATCACTTTAACACACTTCAATTCATCACAAGGAACACTATTACCCTCCATTTTCATTATAAATCTTTAAATAAACATAAATTTTGAACTCGTAATATTAAATCGCTTAAGATAAGCACACAGAGTAAATAAACATTGAAACGTGAAATGAACTTGCAAACGTATTGTCCGCGCGCCTCCGCTTTTAACAAATTTATTCCCAAAAACCTGGCTTTAAATCTCTATACTAATTGCTATATATACAATCGTAGTTATATTTTATTACAGAATATTTTGCCATAGGTTAGAAAGAGAGCGATCGTCTTCTCGAAATTCCGTAAAAAGCCCACGCGAGCGAGGAAGACAACTATTAGCTCTATTAAAACTCATTTTTATGACAGCAGCAGTATCGCTAAGGCAATACGAGGTCATCGGTCGACATGTGTCGAACAGTGGAGTGCGCGGGAAATTCGAAATAGCTTGAAACATTTTACGAGTTATTTTATTAGTTGATATTATTGATTGATATTATTGATTGATTCAGGTTTAATACGGCAAGCCCGGCTTTTCGGCTTTAATGGAAGCTTCGCCACTGGTCACGGATTCACATAGTCATGCAAAATGAACTGACTCATCAGTTCATTTTGCATAGATCGGACCATAAACAATAATTAAAAAAGCTGAAGGTACTCCGGGTCATCTCAGTCCCCCGTGACCATGGGTGCTGGAAAGCGCCCGAAACGTGGGAATTAAAAACAAAAGTAATTAAAAGTAAAATAAACGCGATAAAATCCGTAAAAGTAGTTTTAATCAATGTGTAGTGTTCGCGTAAATATAAGAAATCATGACAGAAATTTACCTTAAAATATAAAAAAGCTGAAATAGTGATTCGATTAATTATTCATTATAACTTACTTGCATTTTTTATCCATGATCTGCAAGTTTTTTCAGACACTTGTTATCAACAATAAATACATTTAATTAATATAGTTTACACATATACATTAGTTTATATAATAGCAGACTACTACCACCACGCACGCTCATTGGTAAAAATCAAATAGCACGCGCTTCCCCGATTTCCTTTCCTGTTTTTTTTTTTTATAGAAGAGGAGGCAAACGAGCATGCGGCTCACCTGTTGGTAAGTGACTACCGCCGCCCATGATCAACCGCAGCACCAGGGGAATTGCAGGTGCGTTGCCGGACTTTTAAAAAGGAGTATGCTCTCTTCTTGATATACACATCACTAAATCACTATCAGATTGCAGGAAAGCGAGAGGTAAGATGTTACACATCAAAAACACGAAATGTAACTTTATGGAACAACACGAAACAGATGTAAAATACGACAGATTACACTAATTAAAATATAAATAACATTTTGCTTAAAACATGATCTGCTATTAAACCTATTATGGGTTATTCCGTTTACCTACTTTAAAAAATCCACTCTAGGGTGGATACTCGGAAACGCGTGTTCATTTATCAACCCTCTCTGGGGTGGATAAATGAACACGAGTTTCCGAGTATCGTAATCGGAATACAATTTTATTTGTTCTTCCGAGATATAACCCCAAATACAGTTCAACTCATAACTTTAATATAACGTTAATAAACGTAATTGTAAATTAATTTTTAATAACCACCAAATTATTACGTATATCCGTTACCGTTACGGTTCCTTTGCTTATTAAAATGCAATGTTTTGTTTTTAAATCCAATTAAACTTCCTCGTTTTTAATAATATTTTTACGTAATTTACAAACTCAGCAATATGTCCAAGAAATTACTAACAGTAATTTCACTATTGCGTAGACGTAATATCCCGGAAAATTCATATCGTTTTCCAAATATATTTTGCTACGGCAGATTTACAAGCATTCAACAAACGTTACTTTTGGATGTTTGTCTTTAACTTCATTTTAAATTGTTTTTTGTCAAGATTTCAATGAATTTATAATCCTGTGAGGTACTCCTTTAATTTTAGCGTTGACCTTTCAAACAAGAAGTACATAATATGTATATATATATATATATTTATACATATTCTAATGTCTACTAAGTATCTTATCATGTTTCTATAAAGGACTGTACATAACCGAAAAATAATATATGGAATTCTGATTATCCACCCCGTGTGGATATACGGAATAACCCCATATTACACTTCACATGCATAATTATTATAATTAAATAGATTTTTTAATGCTACATTTGGGTGAATCACTTGATTTTTGACAAGTCATATTTTACAATAGTATAGTTTGGGGAACAATGTCACACGTTTTTAGAAAGTAGTGCAGTGAATAAAACAGTAATTTATATTCGATACATATTTACATTATGACACTATCATGTTGGATCGAGCGTGGAACTCAATGTCTTTAGATGCTCTAGTCCTGCCAGGAGCTCTCTGAAAAGTAAATACATTAAACATAGAGCATGCCATTTATTTAAATGTAAGGTTTGTCTGATACTTTTTTTATTTATTACTTATTTTAGGTAGATGATATACATTTTTCGTAATGTGTATTAACTTTCCTTATTAAGATATGACTGGTTCTACTTGGGAGTCAGTCTGGTAGCCAAATAGCAGGGCTTGCACTGCTGAGCTTTGTTCTGGACGGTAAGACAGCCAGTGTAACAGGTTGTGAGGCATTTCATCTTAGTATTTCAGAGGCGACGTCGCATCTGTAGCGTTTTTTGGTTAAAATTGGCTACAGGCTACATGGACTGCAGTAACCATTTACCATCAGGCAGACTGTAAGTCATTTGTCACTTCACATTTATATAAATATGTTAACTTCATGCTTTTATAGAATTAGGGTGACAAAATAGCACACAGTCCACCTCTTCGATCAACAATACCAACTAGATAAGGGATCACGTACAAAATTGTAGCTAAATATTGTCTGTATGAATATAAACTTAAACAGCTATATCTGTTGTCAAAAAATTAAAATAGTTTTAAGTTCAACCTAATTACAAATATCGCATCTAGTAATAAAGTCACAAATCTTACGATCATTAGTCACAAAAATAAGAGCTCACGTCTCATGTGCGCTCTTATTAACTGAGACGGATTTCTTGAGCCGACCCGACATCTAGTTGGTATTGTTGATCGAAGGTCCACCTGATGGTAAGTGGATGCTGTGGCCCATAGATTTAACCTTGATTAAGAATCAAAATGCAGATGCGTTGTCACCCCTGAGAACTGTATGGAATGCCTCGATTCCAGTAAAAAGGGTCTCCCGATCTCTACACTCACCATACAAAACACAGCAGCATTAAGCTGCTATTTTTCGCTGATATTCTGTGAGAGCGTGGGCCTTTCCCGGTCGAGCCGACCTATTTGTGCTACAACAATAATATAGCTGCAGCGTGGCTCTACCATTTATAAAATTATCTAAAAATTGCCGGATGTTGGCGGATTAAGATCATTCATCATCCCATTCCATTCCGTGGGTGTAGTAAGAGGCGACTATGGGCTTATTAAGGGAGATGGTCCTGTCCATAGAATACTATAATACACAATAGAATGGCTGTCAACGTTATTTTGTAAGAAATTCGGCGTCGCCGGGAGCACACATACAAGCAATTACGTCGTATTTTCGATCAACAATACCAACTAGATAACGGGTCACGTACAAAATCATAGCTAAATACTGTCCGCGTGAACATATACTTATACATCTACATTTGTTTACTAAAGAATGAACAATATAGTTTTAGGTTCAACCTAATAACAACCGTCGCATCTAGTAATAAAGTCACAAATCTTACGATCATTAGTTCATTAGTCACAAAAAAAGAACAAAGCTATACAATACTCCTATCACTTGGAAATAAAAAGACATAGGTTAAATAACATTTTGTGTGAAATCAACCTTAAGGTATAACAAATAAAGTACTTTTTCCCGTTATTGCCTTACGAGCTACGTCTTTTTGTTATGTTTCTGTTTTCTTCTTCGAATTTGGCCCTGGAAGTATTGAGTCGCGTTGAACACTAAAATTATTTATATTAATTAAAATCATTTTTATGTTTTGGGCATTTATGATCGTTGGTATACATACTTTCAGTCAAGAAATATAATATAGTATGTAGTATATTGATTGCATTTATTAACTAATATTTGAGTTTTTGTATGTATATATGTCCGTACTATATATATATATATATATATATATATATATATATATATATATATATATATATATATATATATACACAACACATAACATAATTAACGCACTTTGAGAAAGTAGTTTGTTCAGAATCGTTTACTGGATCTATTCTTATCATTTTTAATATAGGTAATTTTTTATCCCAAAAATAATTAAAACCACGTTAATTACAGTCACACTAAATCTGTACAGTCAAAACAAACTGAAATAGACCGTAACTTAAGGCAATAAGACTTTTAAGAGTGCAGTTTTATTTGTATTATTACTAATTCTGACCTTCAATAAAAATAAAGAAAAACGAACTTTATTTCAAGCATGTTAAAGTCTTTGCGTTCGTGGGTTTGTACTGTGACCACAACATTCTTCCGGAATTAGTATAACTAATTTGATAAATAATCAATGCATAAAAATGTTTAACAAACAATTCAGTGTATGTATTATGATTGTAACATAATATACTAATTGGGGTGTCTGAGGGTGTGCGTTAATTACATTATGATATGATTCAATTATGTTAGTAATATAGTTGTAGCACGAATGGGTCGGCTCGACCGGGAAAGAACCACGCTCTCACAGAATACCAGCGTAAAATAGTAGCTTAATGCTGCTGTGTTTCGTATGGTGAGTGTAGAGAACCGGAGACCCTTTTTACTGGAAGCGAGGCATTCTATCTTAGTCCTCACGGGTGACAACGCATCTGCATTTTGATTCGTAATCGGGGATAAATGTAGATGTCTATAGGCCACAGCAACCACTTACCGTCAGGTGGACTGTGTGTTCGTTTGTCACCCTATCCTATAAAAAAAACTTCTTTGTGTTGGTGTACAATAAAGAACAATAAATAAATAAAATACTAATTATTTTATGTTTTTGTGTATAATAGGATTATTTTATTTATAAGTGTTTTTATGTGTAGTACACAAAAAGTAATAAACTGCAAGTACGCTTTTTGTTTTTCATATGTATGTAATATTGGCGGCTGCCAAAGGTGTCAATAGCTGTATGTTACAAATAAAAATATCACTAAATTCTACATCTTTATATTCACGTACATTTCAGTACAATCAATAAATCGAAAATCAAAATATTTATAACAGAAACGGAAACAAACTTTTTTATTCAATATAGATTAAATAATACTTATTCAAAGTCACTTTTTTATTTTACCACTGGTTCCTAAAAAAAGACGTGTGGCACTCGGGGACTGCCGCGGTAAAGCTATTGCATAGCATTTTGTATCAACTTATGCAATTATAATTATTTATTTATTTTATTTATGCAGTATTTCTTTTTCTTTGATATTAATTCAAGTTACTTAGGTTAATCCAATCAAATTCAACCAGATTTAACCGAACCCGCGTTATAAGGAACTCACTATTTGTGAAAAATACTGTATCACCGGACCGCGTCGCAAAAAACTCAGGTTCGCGCAGTACATACGTCAGGGCGGCCGTACGGCAATTATATTAACAAGACGCGCAACTACTCAGTTCCACGCTCCACGGCAAGATTTGTCACTTATTATTTATTGTCCAATTAATTGTCTCTAAGTTCAAATGGCACGCTCTATTAATATAAGTCTAAGACAAAACAAGGAGACTTTCAATATATGAACAACCCGGCTTCGACGCGACGGTTGGACCGTAAACGTAAACAGATGACGCTTTCTAACGATAATGAATATAATATTATAACAGTCAATGGTTCATTATTCTAATGTGTTGTAAGATTAAAAATATATAATGAAATATATTATCTGTTGTATGTTATAACGCCCAACTTTAGGGGTGACCTCCCCCTCCCGCACCTCACTAATCGTCGCTTCACACCGCTTGAGATAAGACGATCTACTATCAGGCGCTAACAAACCCCCGTCCCGGACATAAGGACCTATGTCCGCGAGTAAATTGGCAATTAGAAGACGCTTTGTATTGTTGGTTTTTACAAAAACGATCAACTGGGCAAATGATATCTGGCCCTTTGCTTTGTGAAAAAGCATTACAGTTAAATAAAAAATTAGGTGACGGCGGCTCGTTTGTCGCAAGTAACGGATGGTTATATAGATTTATATCTCTTCATGGAATTTAATCAATGTTTATTAAAAAATAATAATTTCTTAATAAACATTGATTTTCGTTGAAATTGTTGTTTTTAATAAACACATAACATTATGTATGTACATATGTACTACAAATGCACAAAACCCGCTTTTCTTCATACATTCGATCATCCGGATTTTCGATTATCCGAATCCCTAACGGCAACAATTAGTCCGGTTAATCGAGTATATATATACATATTGAGAATCTAAATTGAGAATTTAAACTATACGCGTGTGTGTGTTTGTGTGTATATAAAGAGGGCTACTTTTAATATCGCTCATTTTAATATCAAAAATTTAGGTTATCTTTATAGCAGTATTATATTTTCAATTCAAAATTAGTACTGCATTTGTGATAATAATAAAATGTAGGTATGTATATGGAGTACTCACTCATTTTCTTTCATTTTTTTTTCGTGACTTTCTTCATTAATAATAAATGCACTTTGTTCATTCATATTCAAAATTTCAAAACACTTTATACACAAACACCGTGTCGAAGACTGAGGAAAAGAAACGACGTTAGACCATCGTTAGACAATGCACAGCCTTCAAGCCACACCTCCGTGCCCGTCGGAGAGCGTGAGGTTTTTTTCGTTACGGAATTTCTGGATTTTCCCGCACTCAAGGCCCGCGATAGAAGCTATGCAATAGCCTAAAAAACCTCTGTCCTATTAGGAACCAACAAGAAACTCGCGGGACTATTTTTTTTTTAAATAACATCTTATAATTATGTATAGTACAATTAACAACACAAAACAAATTAGAAATAGCTTGGTAGCGATCACCCTTCCCAGGGGTTATTATCATCCATAAATTCCTTAATATTACAACGTTAAATATTGTATATTTTCTAGAATTTTGTTGTAAAAGCGTATACATCACCGTGGAGTCGAGTAAGTGGTACTAATAGCTTGTGTTTGTTCCTAGTATTTACAAAATGACGATTAACGATAACGATTTAACATTAAAGATTTTTTCCGTTGTTCGTACATGAATCAATTTCCTTTAAATAAGTTGAGTTTGTTGTACAATTGTCGTTTTGATTTATTTTTGATATATCTCCTTTCTTTTTTACATATGTAATGTAACCTTACGTCAATAAATTTTTCAACTACTGATTTGAGTAAAGTAATTTCGTGATTGTGTTCATCTCCTCCAGGAAACAAAAAAAAACAAGAAAAAATACAAAAAAATACTTTTTTAACCAACCGACGTCGATTACAATTTTCAGATATATTTGACTTATCAAAGTGATTCGAACATATAACAGACTTCTTAGCTGGCTTATAAAAGTCATCTCTTCTTTCTCTGGCGACAATCGAGGTCCATTTTGCACACTTAAACGAATTGCTAGGAAAGCTAAAATAAAAAAGCTAAGTATCTAATGGAATTACACAAACAAATACAAAAGTAGCAATTACAATTATTTAAAGTTTTGGTAACAAATTATTAAAAATATTACAATACAAGTATATAACAAGTACTTCACGCGTCTATGTTCTGTTTCACAAATGTTTGCCCGTATATTGGTCAAACTTGGCAAAACATTTGTAGGGGTGGTTTTGATCGGTAATTTTGTTCCAAATAATATTATTTGTTAGCTTAGAGCTTAAAATATAACATATTATACATGTAATTACCGAAAGTAAGACACTCCGGCCGTTAAATTACTTTTTCGGGCATTATTCTTGCAACTTTTAAATACACATTGCGGCATTGTGAAACGTGTTTACATTGGCTGTGTTTCAAGTGAACTAAACGAAACAAGAGCTCACGTCTCAAGTGCGCTGTTATGTACTGAGATGGGTTTCTTGCGTCGATCCGACATCTAGTTGGTATTGTTGATCGAAGGTATTATCAGTTAATCACTACTACAAACTTAATTCGCTGTGTTGACAGACGGATTTTAATACATATTTATTTGTAAATAGTGTGCAATTTGGCATTTTTTAAATAATTTGCATGCGAAATTTGGATACGTGTGAATTGAGGTATTAGTGACATTTTTATTAGTTTATAGTGATATTTATATTAGTGGCAGTTTTGGGAAATGGTAAGGATGGTGTTAATGAAGTGTAAGGGAAATGAAAATATTATTATGCTAGGAGATTTTAATGGAAGGGTTGGGGTGAGGAGGCTTGGTTAGGAAAGGACATTGGGAACGTTTGGTGATGAAAGTATAAATGAGAATGGTGAAAGTCTCCTCACCGTATGTATGGAAAAGAATCTTTTTGTGACGAACACTTGCTTTCGCCACAAGAGGATTCACATGTATACTTGGGAAAGAGGTGACGATAGAAGCATGATAGATTTCATAATTGTGGATGAAAGATTGAGGGGCGCAGTGGTAGATACGAGAGTTTACCGCGGTTCTAACGTAGGAACGGATCATTATTTAGTTTTATGCCGAATTAATGGTCTATTCAGGCGTTGGCGCAATCGATCGTCTGTGTCTACCACTGCGTTACAGCGTATTAGAACAGAAAGGTTACGAGATGAAAGTGATAAAAACAAGTTCAAATGTAGACTGAAAGAAAATATAAGTGGTTTGGATGAATTATGTATGAAGGAGTTAGACTTGGAGAATATATGGCAAAATGTAAAGAAAGGTTTAGTGGATGCAGCTACCGAAGTATGTGGTGTTAGTAAGAGAAAGAATGAAAGGAAAAATAATACGTTATGGTGGGATGATGAGGTACGTATGGAAGTTGAAGCAAAGAAGAGAGCATGGCTAGATTTACTAGCAACAAAGGCTGCTAATTCTAGTGGTACGAATGGTGATATTGAAAGAAAAAAGGCAGTCTTTACACATCTTAATAAGAGAGTAAAAGAAGTAGTTGAAAGAAAAAAGCAAGAAAGAACGGATAAGAATGATAGAAGAATATCGGATAACTTCCAGGCAAATATTAAAATGTTCTGGAAACTTGTAAGAACTGCCAGGGAACATTCAAAACAGCCTATGATGAATGCTATAAGAGACGAGAATGGCTATATTCTGAATGATGAAGTTTTGAGTTTAAAGAGATGGAAGGAATATTTTGAAAGCGTGTTTATGAGTGAGGAGACAACGTGTGTACTAAGTGAAGTAGAAACACCGCAAGAAGAGGAAATAGTTAGCGAGATAAGTACAGATGAAATAATGAAAGCAATGAAAAGCATGAAAGCAGGTAAGGCTGCCGGATATGATAGTTTCACTCGAAATGCTAAGGGCTGGAGAGGAAGTGGTGGCAGGCCTGCTGCACACCTTGTTTAATTTATGCTGGGAACTGAAGCGGGTACCGGTAGACTGGTGCAAAGCCGTGATAGTCCCAGTATATAAAGGAAGAGGGTCGCAGCAGGACTGTAAAACTACCGTGGCATCAGCCTTCTTAGCATTGTGGGAAAACTGTATGCTAAGGTACTGATTGAAAGGGTCATGAAAGAAACTGATGGAAAAATTTGGGATGTGCAAGCGGGATTTAGAAAGGGAATGGTATGTACAGATCAAGTCTTTTCCATGCGCATGATCGCGGAGAAGTTTCTGGCCAAAAACCAAAAGGTTTTTTGTGCGTTCATGGACTTGGAAAAGGCCTATGACAGAGTGGATAGGGATGTGCTATGGCAAACACTGAACTCATTTGGGTTGAGCGCTGGCTTGATACAGGCATTAGAGTCTCTTTATAGGGACTCTAGTGCTTGTGTTAGGATCAACGGGTCTACTCGGACTGGTTTGACATCCATAAAGGTGTCAGACAGGGCTGTGTGGCTTCCCCGTGGCTGTTCAACCTATTTATGGACAGTTGTTTGCAAAATTTGAAAGTTGAAGAATGCGGATTAAGAATGGGTGAGTTAACCGTCAAATGCCTTTTGTACGCCGATGATCAAGTTATTCTTGCGTCGTCGGCGGCCGAGTTGCAAATGATGGTTACATTAATGAACGGATCATTAAAAGAAAGGGGTATGAAAGTGAACGCAAGTAAGACGAAGGTTATGGTTTTTGAAAGAGAAGAAAGTAAAACGATTTGTGAAATAAGAATAGAAGGGGAGTTGATCGAGCAAGTAGATGAGTTTGTATATTTGGGCTGCGTATTTATGATGGGAGATATGATAAGGATATAGAACGACGAGTGAATGCGGGAAATAGAGTAAATGGGGCCTTGCACTCTATTGTGAAGAGTCAAAATGTGTCGAAAAAGGCACGTATGGCAATTCACAATGCTGTGTTGGTCACTTTAACGTATTGTAGTGAAAGTTGGGTGTGGCAGAAGAAGCACGAGAGTAGAATAAACGCAGTAGAAATGCAGTCGTTAAGGAGTATGTTAGGGCTGAATCTGAATGACAGGGTAAGAAATTGTGTAATAAGAGAAGAGTGTGGTTTGCAAGATGATGTTGTGACCAGGATTAAGAAAGGAATGCTTCAGTGGTTTGGTCATGTGGAAATGAATGAGGAAAGAGTGACAAAGAAAATTTATGGTGCAGAAGTGAATGGCAGAGTCGGAAAGGAACGTCCTAGGCGAACATTTATCGACCAAATTGGCGATTTATTGAAAACGGGCCAAATTAGGAGTACCCTTAACCGACGAGCATGTATGCGTAGGTGTATGGATGTGAAGGAGGCAAGAGAGGTGTGTCAGGATCGTGCCAAATGGAAGTCTGTAGTCTCTGCCTACCCCTCTGGGTGACAGGCGTGAGTGTTATAATTGTTTACCTGAGCGAAGTTTCGGCGACGCGCGAAGCGTGCCGCAAGTCGGAAGCAGCGCCGGCCTGTGTGCTTCGCAGCGAACGAACTTCTTCTTGCGAAGCGCGCAACTGCTCCTGGAAATTTATGACGCACTTGTTTGACTATTGAATATACCAAAAAGATTTATAAGAATATTAGTTCTTTGTTTTCTTGAAATTGCAGTTTTTAAGAAATAACATAATTTTTTTACCATTATTTTTAATATCTTTTAGTAATCACTCATACAATCGATACATCTTTGCCAATGCAGTGGCAGTTTATTGATGAACTTCTTAACGAAATCAGCTGGACGGGAGGCAACAAATTCTTCAAAGGCATTTGGTATTACTGTGGTGACTAGTGTATATATCACAATGTTGCGGTATGTGATCGAACCTACGATTCGTCGGCCATCAGATAAAATCAGTGTGTGTGTGTGTGCTGCGCGTGCGTGCGTGCGTGCGAGCGTGTGTGTGTGTGTGTGTGTGTGTGTGTGTAAGTGTATGAATGTATGTATGTACGTGTGAAATGTACGAGAGTCCCCTACACTAGCTCTCGGGTATATTTTTTCCCGCCAAAAAGTTATCCAAATTCTGGAAAAAGTAGAAGTCTGTAGTCGCAAGGTCCGGTGAGTACGCCAGATGACGGAGAGCTTCCAACCCCAGCTTTGGTAACTTGGAGACCGTCTGTTGTGCAGTATGAGGTCGTGCGTTATCGTGTCGAGCAGCGGAGACGAATGATTAACCAAAGCTGGTTGGAAACATGCGAGATTCTCCATCAGTGTTCAGATCGTCACAGTACACATATGTAGTAATACTCATCCCTTTTGGCAGGAAGCTGTGATGAATCACACCGGGACCAAATCACCAAACAGTGACACTATCACTTATCTAGGGGTAAGTTTTCGTTTAGGGCATTTTTTAGATGATGAACCAGTATCAACCAACTTGCTGAGCGCTTGCGATTGTCAAACAGAATCCATTTTTCGTCGCAGGTAATAAATCGCAGGTAATAATTAAGAGTGGCGAAGCCTCTATACAAGCCCAGAAGCCCGGCTTGCCTCATTAAGATGGATCAATCAATTATATCAAGTAATAAAATAACTCGTAAACTGTTTCAAACTATTTCAAATTTCCCGCACACTCTGTTCGACCTCGTAGCCTTACGAATACTGCTGTCATACATATAAGGAGAGTTGAATTGAGTCATTGGTTTTCTGCCTCGCACGCGTGGGCTTTTTACCGGACTTTCGAGAAGGCGATCTCTCCCTTTCTAACCAGTGGCAAATGTTCTCTAATGAAATATAACTACGAAATGCTTATATAGCAATTACTATTGAGCCACAAGCCTGGCTTTGTCCTGAAGTTGCTTAGGAGTGCGATAGCGACTAGCGAATGGGGTGCGGACCATTCGTATGCAAGTTCACTTCACATTTCAATGTTTATGTTTGTTTTTGTTGTGTTTGTTAAAAAATTATGCTTTTTCAAAGATTTTCAGTGAAAATGGAAGGATAATATTGTTCATTGTAATAAATATAAGTGTGTTGAAGTGCTAATCGGTGACGAAAAGGTAACATCTTTAAAAATGAAATTTAATATTCAATAAACATTTCTTCATACTTTAAATATAGCTCTTTAGTATTAAAGTTTAATTAAGTTAGGCGTATTTAAAGGTTTAATAACGCAATATTTATATTACCATATGAATTAAAAATATGATTTTGAACGGCAGCATAAAATATGAGACACCTAGGTTTAATTTTATAGGAAATAAGTGTAACATTCTTTTTTTTAACGTGAAACCCAAATTTTAATGTAATAAATCAAAAGAATACAGAAGAATGTATTGAGGTTTTTAAAGAAGTCCCTTTAGTTATTTCCATATTAACATAAACACTCACGCCTGTCACCCAGAGGGGTAGGCAGAGACTACAGACTTCCATTTAGCACGATCCTGACATACCTTTCTCGCCTCTTCCACATCCATATACCTACGCATACATGCTCGTCGGTTAAGGGTACTCTTAATTTGGCCCATTTTTAGTATATCGCCAATTTGGTCGCTTCCGCCTAGGACGTCCCTTTCCGACTCTTCCATTCACTTCTGCAACATATATTTGCTTTGTCAGTATTTCCGCATTCATTCTTTCTACATGACCAAACCACCGAAGCATTCCTTTCTTAATCCTGGTCACCGCATCATCTTGCAAACCACACTCTTCTTTTATCACACAGTTTCTCACCCTGTCACTCAGATTCAGCCCTAACATACTCCTTAGCGACCGCATTTCTACTGCATTTATTCTACTCTCGTGCTTCTTCTGCCACACCCAACTTTCACTACCATACGTTAAAGTAGGGACTAATACAGCACTGTGAATTGCCATACGTGCCTTTTTTGACACATTCTGACTTTTCACAATAGAGTGTAGAGCCCCATTTACTTTATTTCCTGCATTCACTCGTCGTTCAATATCCTTATCATATCTCCCATCCCTGCTGAATACACATCCCAAATATACGAACTCATCCACTTGCTCAATTAACTCTCCTTCTATTCTTATTTCACATACCGTCTTGCTTTCATCTCTTTCAAAAACCATCACTTTCGTCTTACTTGCGTTCACTTTCATTCCCCTTTCTTTTAATGACCTGTTCATTAATGTAACCATCATTTGCAACTCGGCCGCCGACGACGCAAGTATGACTTGATCATCGGCATACAAAAGGCATTTGATGGTTAACTCACCCATTCTTAACCCGCATTCTTCAACTTTCAAATTTTCCAAACAGCTGTCCATAAATAGGTTGAACAGCCACGGGGAAGCTACACAGCCCTGTCTGACACCTTTATGGATGCCAAACCAGTCCGAGTAGACCCCGTTGATCCTAACACAAGCACTCGAGTCCCTATACAGAGACTTTAATGCATGTATCAAACCAGCGCTCAACCTAAATGCGTTCAGCGTTTGCCATAACACATCCCTGTCCACTCTGTCATAAGCTTTTTCCAAGTCCATGAACGCACAAAAAACTTTTTGGTTTTTCGCCAAAAACTTCTCCGCGATCATGCGCATGGAAAAGACTTGATCTGTACACCCCATTCCCTTTCTAAATCCCGCTTGCACATCCCAAATTTTTTCATCAGTTTCTTTCATAACTCTTTCAATTAGTACCTTAGCATACAGTTTTCCCACAATGCTAAGAAGGCTGATACCACGGTAGTTTTTACAGTCCTGCTGTGACCCTTTTCCCTTATATATTGGGACTATCACGGCTTTGCACCAGTCTCCCGGTACCCGCTTTAGTTCCCAACATAAATTAAACAAGGTGTACAGCAGGCCTGCCACCACGTCCTCTCCAGCCCTTAGCATTTCGAGTGAAACTCTATCATATCCGGCTGCCTTACCTACTTTCATGCTTTTCATTGCTTTCATTATTCCATCTATACTTATCTCCCTATCTCTTTCATCTTCTTTCGGAATTTCTGTTTCATTTAGTTCACACTTCTCCTCACTCATAAATTCGCTTTCAAAATATTCCTTCCATCTCTTTAGACTCAACACTTCATCATTCAGGATACAGCCATTCTCGTCTCGTATCGCATTCAATCTAGGCTGTTTTGAAAGTCCCCTGGTATTTCTTACGAGTTTCCAGAACATTTTAATATTTGCCTGGAAGTTATCCGATATTCTTTTATCATTCCTATCCGTTCTTTCTTGCTTTTTCCTTTCAACTAATTCTTTTACTCTCTTTATATATTTTTACTCTCTTATTTAAACGTTTAAACTCAGCCTTTTTTCTTTCATTCTCATCATTCTTACCGCCAGAATTACCAGCTTTGGTCGCTAGTAAATCTAGCCATGCTCTCTTCTTTGCTTCAACTTCCATACGTACCTCATCATCCCACCATAACGTATTGTCTTTCCTTTCATTCGTTCTCTTACTAACACCACATACTTCGGTAGCTGCATCCACTAAACCTTTCTTAACATTATGCCACACATTATCCAAGTCTAACTCATTCACACACAACTCATCCAAATTACTTATATTTTCTCTCAGTCTGCATTTGTACTTGTCTTTCACATCTTCATCTTGTAACCTCTCAATTCTTATACGCTGTAACGCAGTGGTAGACACAAATGTCCTATGCCGCCATCGTCTGAATAAACCCCTAATTCGGCATAAGACCAGGTAGTGGTCCGTCTCTACGTTGGACAACCGGTAAACCCTTATATCCACCACTGCGTTCCTCATTCTTTCATCCACAGTTATGAAATCTATCATGCTTCTATCATCACCTCTTTCCCAAGTATACATGTGAATCTCCTTATGACGAAAGAAAGTGTTCGTCACAAAAAGATTCCTTTCCACACATACGGTGAGGAGGCTTTCACCATTCTCATTTATACTTTCATCACCAAACGTTCCCAATACCCTTTCATAACCAAGCCTCCTCACCCCAACCCTTCCATTAAAATCTCCTAGCATAATAATATTTTCATTTCCCTTACACTTCATTAACACCATCCTTACCATTTCCTAAAACTGGTCTCGGATATAAGTGGGCTTAGACATGTCTGGGGCGTAGACCCCTAACACAAACAACTTCTTTAAGCCCACTTTCATTCTTATCCATAGCAGTCTTGGGCTTACACATTCACACTCTTTCACACATTGGCCCATTCTTTCTGAAAGGATGATACCTACTCCCTGGCATGCCCGCTCGATCTCGTCTACACCAGACCAGTATGCGGTATACATGCCATGTATAGTGACATCCTTCCCCTTCCTTTTCGTCACATTTACACATAATACATCTATTCCTCTATCATACATCATATCGCATACTTCATCCATTTTATCATTCATTGCCCCACATACATTCAACGTAGCCAGACGGGCCTCTGCAATCCACTATTCGCCTCTCTGGGAGACAGAATGGCGAACCTCGTCGCCGTTATTTCCAGTATATAAAATTTTAATAGCGCCATCTACTTAATTCTATAGGTAGTCATTTTATCGAACGAAAACTAGTCGATTCTCACGATGGTACCTAAAGATTACGCTAGATGGTACAAATACGCTATCGG